CGCTTTCATCTGTTTGACGGCCTCAACCTTTTTGTCGTCGCTCTTCATACCCTCTGGCGTGATAATCTGTCTGAAAAATCGCACTTAGTTGTTTTGAACTGCAGCTTCTTTGGATTGAACTTAATTCCGTTCATTCGTGCTGTTTCGAGTAACTGAAGTAGATTTACGTCATGATCCTTGGAATCCACCCCTCTCGTGAGGATGACGTCAATGCATCCCGTGATTCTTTTCACTTATCTAAGGACTACATTCAACCTCTCCTGAAATACGTCTGCGCTGACTTTAAGACCAAAGGGAAGTCGGAACCACCTGTATTTCCCCCATGGAGTGTTGAAGGCAGTTAAAACTGAACTTTCATTGTCCAATTCTACCATCCAGTAGTCCGACTTGGCATCAACAAGCTTAAAATATTTTCCTCCGTGGAGTTCAGCGCTAACTTCATCAATAGTCTTCGTGTAATACTGGTTCCTTTTGATGCTCTTGTTAAGGTCCTTTGGATCTAAGCATAGTCTAATTGATCCATCAGGCTTAAAGACAGGAACGACGCTGTTGATCCAGTCTGTGTGTCTCTGAACTGGTTCAATGATTCCCGAACTGCACAATCTCTCAAGCTCTTCTTTGTATGCTGCTTTCTTCTTCTCAGGTACTGCTCGTGGTGGATGTTGTACAAGTTGTGCGTCTGGCTTGAGTTGGAGGTGATACTTGCCCCCTGGTAGTTTTCCTATGCCTTTGAATATATCTCTGAGTTCGGATAGTACGTACTCCTTTGTCAGTGGAAAATAGTGCCGTTATCCAACACCTCACATGTAGGCTTGTTAACCTTACTAGAATCTGGTCGCAGAGTGTTAACACTTGAATGGAATTGCGGCATACTGGTTAAGGAGGGCGGGGTTACCTCTGGAAAGGCAATGTAGCCGAGTTGCTGGGCTGTAAGTTCGTGCAATCAAATTCAATTGCGCGAGCGTGCTTCAAATTCCCTTCGTTCAGGCCGGTGACTTCAGCAGACAAATGTCTCGCGAAGAAATTTTCTTCTTACGAGTGACTTCGAACAAGCCGATGAAGATCTGCTTACTATCTCTTTGGGAATAGACGTTTTTACCCCCGAGAAACAACCCGGAGAAAGGAAAAACAAAACAATCAACGGTTAAAGCTCGTTTCGCAACTCCTCATTTCCGCGCTTGAATTCACCTGTCAGTTTTTGACCCATCTGAGACAAGATCATTGAAAAATGGCGAAATACTTTTCACAAAAAAATAAACAACGCATTGAAGCGTAGGAGAGAGAATTTCCGCCCTTTATACCAAAATTACCGCGTTGAAAATGTTATAAAACAATTGTTTTATGTGTCAGCTGTACGTTCAACAAGACCTGAAGCACTTGGGAAGTTTTGAGAGCACTCAATAAAGCTAGAGTTGCTCTCGGCTGCGCTTCGAGCAACTCTTAGGCATCTTTCGTGCTCTCCAAACTTCCCGCGTGGTCCAAGTCTCGATGAACGCACGCTAACGCATGAACCAATTGTTGATAGTGATTCTGTACGAAATACTTTACAAGTATTGAACCCAATAAAAACCAGTAACAGAAACAGGACATTTAACGGAAGAGCTAACCTTATATATTTAACCTTACTATTTCAGTTGCTTTTGTCAGTATCCTGTTGTTAGCGCCACCTTCGAAGTTGTGTTCACGGACATTCTTGATTTTTTCAGCAAGTGAGGTGTTCGTCCCAGCATCATAGTTTGTTGTTAAATCGGCCGTCACAGTTTTGCTAGTATTTTCGTAGTTTGAACCCACCTATGGCTCATATGTTATCTCGTGAGAACTAGTTCGAACTTTCCACATTTGGCTAGCTTTCAAGCAATGAAGTTCGTGAACCGGCCCATTCCATTGTTCATGAAGAGCGAGCTCATGACAACACAAGTTGTTGCAGTCTCATTCCCAGTCTCCGCGGTTTACGCAAGGAGCGCCTGGGACCATGATCCTCCTTTTGGCGACCAAAACTGCTTCCATTTTCAGACTCGGGCTTTCCTACGGATGCCCGAGTAATTATCGAAAATATCCGTTTCTCGTCTTCTTATGGAAACCTCATGGAAAATTAACGCGTCACGCCATTTTATTGGCAAATGGTCGGTAGATCGGTATCGGCCGCTTTCGCCCCCTATCGAGTTCGGCCCTTCGAGTTCACCCCTAACTTATACCGTGTTCGCCCCCACACTTTTCGAGTTCGACCTCGCCAAAACGAGTTCGCCCCCAGATTGAGTAATGTCTATTTATTTTTTTTCGAAAATTGCAAACAATCTAGAACCAAGACAAGTTCTAAATTGTATTTGACTGACGGCCATTTTGAAAGTTCATAAGTGCGTAGGAGCTGGGGCGACTGGAAACAAGGAATAAACAAACCGGATACAACTATGCTGGAACTTTCGTTGGCCTTGACCTTTATAGATTAGGTGGCTCCTAAAGGAGCCGTTTCTTAATTTGACCGATCCCCAAGGCTTAAAGTCTTAAAGTCTTAAATAATCAAGAGCGTGATCAAATCGTGGTTTCGTAAACTCTTCCGCCTTTTTTTCATAAATAAAGCTAAACGAAGTAAGTATCGTTAGAACCGTTACACAGTTATTACAAGGCTAAAAACTTCAGCAATGCTGTCGTGATGGAAGCGAGGTTTGCATCTTCTCAGGTCTTGTTATGATCAACACTATGCGATGAAAGCGTGGTTTGCGTCTTCTCAAGTCTGGTTGTTATGAGCAACACATTTCGTGTTCGTTAGATAAACAGAGGTTGTTTGACACCTTTTCCAGTCCGAATCATAAGTTGAGCAATGTTACTTTGACTTAAGTGTGGTTCCCATTATCACTTACTTTAGTGTATACAGTTACTTCCGGTAACCCTAGATTGCCGAAATTCAAATTGGTCATCGTTGACTTGACATTTGGCACATTCTGCTAGAACCTTCGTCACAAATCACCTCATTTGGACATCACTCAATCAAGGGACGAACTCGACTTGGTGGGGTCGAACTCAAAAAGTGTGGGGGCGAACACGGTTTAAGGTAGGAGCGAACTCGATAGGTGGCGAACGAGGTGCAATTCGGTAGATCAGCCGAATCAGTTAACAAAGAAGTATAGCAGTATATCGTCAGAGAATTTGGAATTGTTCAAATTCCCATGAAAGAAGGTGCAGCACTCGGAATCTGGATGATATGCACACGATTTGAGGTATATGCCTGTGGATACGTTGGGTAGCCCCGTACGAGAGCTGATGAATTTTTGTGGCCACTACCTCCTTCAGGAGGCGAAGTCACAAAAGGTGTCTAGATGGTTGAGTGATTGAGTAAGTGAGAGTAAATATAAAATTCCTAGTTTGACCCAATTTTGACCCCATGTTTTACAATGCTACTCAGTTTTTTTATTTTTTTGGAGTATCCTTGTAGTTGATCAGCAGGGATTTGCTAAAGCAAAGGCATAGAAAAAACCAGGAAAGATTTATTACTCGACGTTTCGGGGTCATCGTGACTCAAAACGTTTCGGGGTCATCGTGACTCTGACTTAAAGGTGTTTGTTTAAGCCGTTCAGTCTAATTTATGCTATTCTTGTACCTTTCCTTATTTGCATGTTTTTTAAACTAGTCTCTTGATAATGGAGTCACGATGACCCCGAAACGTCGAGTAATAAATCTTTCCTGGTTTTTTCTATGCCTTTGCTTTAGCAAATCCCTGCTGATCAAGGTGACTCCATTATCAAGAGACTAGTTTAAAAACATGCAAATAAGGAAAGGTACAAGAATAGCATAAATTAGACTGAACGGCTTAAACAAACACCTTGGCGCGGATGGAATCCGTTTGCACGTTCAGTGTTGGCTTACGCATGCGAATATACAACATTTCATTAACAAGGCAATCAAATTTGCCGTTACATTTCGTGATGACGTTGATTTATGAATTTAAATGTAACCTGTGTGATGCAGGGTATGTGGGCTATACTCGTGGTCACTTACACGAGCGCGTAGAAGGGCACAAAAGGAAATCATCTTCTATCTACAAACACTACCACCTCCAGCACAATAGTGAAATGCCTGAACGCTTGATCGAGCAATTCAACGTCATCACGAAATGTAACGGCAAATTTGATTGCCTTGTTAATGAAATGTTGTATATTCGCATGCGTAAGCCAACACTGAACGTGCAAACGGATTCCATCCGCGCCAAGGTGTTTGTTTAAGCCGTTCAGTCTAATTTATGCTATTCTTGTACCTTTCCTTATTTGCATGTTTTTTAAACTAGTCTCTTGATAATGGAGTCACGATGACCCCGAAACGTCGAGTAATAAATCTTTCCTGGTTTTTATCCTTGTAGTTTGACATTAATTTGCACTTGATACAGAGTTCATATTTAGTTCTTTCCCTTCGTGATTTCTGGATCATACTTGAGCTTCATTCACAAATTACCCCTATGAAGAGTAGAGGTCCAAAGAGATTTTTACATTTTTAAAAACTAGATTTTGTAGCCAACAAGGTGTATTTTTCAGTTCCAGAATCAATGTACTTTGAGAGAAATTCAGATAAACATTTTCCCGGTTTTACTCTACACCAAAAATGACCGAAACTGTACCGAGATAAATGATTGATCAGTGTCTTTACTTTCACTGTCAGGGAAAATTGAATGTATCGAGTAAAAATGCATGATATCACTATGTATGGCAGAGATACCAATTTGTAATGTCATAGAGAGCTTGAAATAGAGAAATGAACATTTTACAATTTTTTGGCAATGCTTTTGTATGTACTTAGTTTAGGCAGCAAACAATTGTAGTCAGCTAAGCTTTGTAATGTGCCATTTTAAATCTAAACTAATTACAATAACAATGAAAGAGCCAACTGATGATAAAGGGCATTGGTCAATGTTTTAAGCAATCAAACTTGAGCATGTGATAAAGTGGATATGAATCCCATGTGTTTTTATGAACTTCCTCATAATGTATTTTGATGTGATAACCACTTTGCAGGAAAATAAGTGAAGCCAACAAATGTGCTATTGAATTATCATCACCTAACCAGAAAAAAATTTAGCTGACGCCTCCATCTTACAGTAAGTGTCCTACATTGATGTGGTTTTTTCTTCACTCAATTTTTTGACCAACTGAAAACTACCAACTTGAAGTTTACACAAGTGATAAACAAACAAGATTACGGCTTTCATTGACATTATTGAAAAAGTGACTTTATTTTCCTGAAGGGATGCTTCAGCCACAAATCATTTTTCTGATAGTGATATCATTAGTGGAAGAATGTTCAGGTATGTCAACACTCTATTTTTATCACCTTCACATAATTAATGTCTAACAGGTTTTATCAGATGTCTCAGGGTGAGAAATTTTTTAAATCTGACTGGCTAAGACAGTTTACCTTTTGTAATAATAAGAAATTTCCTGTTTATTGCTGACAAGAATTCTCAGTCCTGATTTCAAATATTCAACTACTTTTAGTAATAATTGAAATTATAATAATCCATTACGGCAAATGGATGTTTCTTAATGAGTCAAGGGTAACAATTCATTTAAAAGTATGACTATTTTAAATAAGTGTGAATTAAGTTCAATTAGAAAATTAATGTTTTTTGACAGATAGTTATGTCATTTTCTTTCTTTTCCTGTGGAGGTTTGTTAATAAATAAGGAGGCAGCGTGGCCGAGTGGTTAGGGTGCTGGACTTGCAATCCAGTGTCCTGGGTTCAAGTCCTCCACCCTGCCACTCACCGGATTTGTTCTCGGTTGCCCCTCGCTCAACTCCTCGGCTCCACTCTCTAAATAGCTCACTAGTCTGCCTCCTGCCAGTGGGGATTTTAAAGCACTTAGTTAGTCTACATTGTGGCTGAGAAGCCCGTTTGGGGGAGCTTCAATTAACATATATTATTATGATTATTATTGTTATTATAGATAAGTGTCTGAATGATTTTATTCACCATTAATTAGAAACTCATGTGTGTGGCTTTATCCTCTTCCTGAAGATAGAAGTATTGACAGTTATCAGTTTGTCAATATTGATTAAGATTTAAATGATTTATATAATTGATATGGATTTATATGAACGTTAGGCATGATCCTTTAGCAATGAATCTGCTTGACTACTTGATGTACAAATAGACTGAAACAACTCCCAAGATGACCCTTTTCTTCATTAAGAAGTTTCATCTTTTTTTCCTCTTGATGTGAAATTTTGTGAAACATATCAGTGTGTCCTCATGCTAGTCTACACTGTTTCCTCCTTTTGATTTTCGTGTGGATTTTTGTGAATTAAGTCAGTATCTAGGTCTCTTCATGCTTTTATTAACAATTCTTTCATAGGAACGTGACTGGCATTTTGATGTGGGGACTTTTGTAATTTTACTGTCAGCTTTGATAACAATTCCCCTTACTACTAATGTGTATGTTTGTATTAATAATGCTCCTTAAATAATTGACTTCCTTCTAATTTAGTCAGTTGGTCATTATTACGGTAATTAATTACTGTACCACTGTCATAATCTTCTAACCTAAATTAACCCCCTAACATCAGTATGCATATTCTCCATACTGTTCTGTATACATTTCCTAAGATGTTTACAAGTAGAATTTGTTAAACAGTCTTGAGCTTCTTTATTTGTGGATCATCTCTTTTATTCTTATGACCTTAGTACTTGATTAAGGTGTGATATTGTTAGGAGAAATCAAATACAAGTAATGTTTGGGGTCAAAGAAGGATTTTTAATTTAAGAGTATCCTGAATGAAAATGAGTTGATTTTATTGTAAAATGTTCTTTTTTAACGTTGACTTTCATCTTTTTCCTTTCCACATTGATGTATGAACAAATCAGGCGGTAAGTTTTTTGAAGCTTTGATGTTTTTTTTATCAAGATGTGTTCACTGTTTTTCATTTTATCATTTGTGTTTGTATTCATGATGCTCCTTTAATAATTGACTATAGAAGAATTTCTTCTCATTTGGTCAGTTTGTCATTATTAACGTATTCAATTACTGTGCTGGTGTCATAATTCTCTAACCTGAATTAACACCCTAGCATCAGTATCCATATTCTCCATACTGTTCTCTATACATTTCCTTAGATGATAACAGTTAGAATTTGTTAAACAGTCAAGAGCTTTTTTAGTTATGGATCATTTCCTTTATTCTCATGACCTTTAAGTGCTTGATTAAGGGGTGATATTGTTAGGAGAACTTAAACACTTGTTAACAAATGGTAAACGCCGCAGCGTACACTATTGAGTTATATGGATACTTGCAGGAGGTTGCTAAGCATGAAAGAAGCTTAAGAGTCATGTTAGGCGATAGCCTAGAGCAACTCTAGCTTCTTGAGTGTTTAGCAAATCTCTCAGGTGCATCTATAACTCAATAGTGTACACTGTGGCCATTGCCATTTGTTTTACAACATAACATTGCTACATTGTAGCAAAAGAGTTTTCTTTCATTGAAAAAATATTACGTGACCAGAAAAAGCAAGTGCGCACGGATATATAGTCTTTGCATTTGCTCATATCAGCAGCGTACACCCATGGGCAAATGGTGGACGTTGATTGACCAATCAGAGGATGCGCTTTTGGTTACGTTATAATCACTGTTAGGGGTCAAAGCTGGGCTGTAATTAGAGTCTCCAAAATAAGAATGAATTGATTTTATTTTAATATATCTTTTTTTTACAATTATGAGGATGTTTGTGAACAAATCAGACAGTGTCTTGAACCTTTTAAATATTGTCTATCCGAAGTGTTCAATGTATTTCACCTCAGTAATAATGTGTGTGTTTGTATTAAGATTGCTCCTTTAATAATTCACTTTAAAAGAACTCATTCCCATTTAGGCAGTTGGTCATTATTACTGCAGTTAACTACAGTATAACAGTCAAAATTCTCCATCTTGTAACGTACTAACATCAGTATGCATATTCTCCATGCTTAACAAATGCAGCATACACTATTGAGGCATGGATGCAAGTGGGAGGTTGCTAAGCATGAAAGAAGCGTAAGAGTTGCGCGAGGAGATAACCAAGAGCGACTCTAGTTTCTTGAGTGCTTAGCAAACCTCTCACGTACATCCATAACTCAATAGTTTACACTGTGGCGTTTACCATTTTTTTTATAACATAGGATTGATGCATTGTAGTGAAAAAGTTTTTTTTCATATAAGGAGTCTTACTTGACCAGAAAACACAAGCGCACGCGGAAAACTACTCTTTGCATTTGCTCACATCAGCGGTGTACACCCATGGGCAAATGGTGGATGCTGAATTAACCAATCAAAGCGTGTGCTTTACCTTGGTTATGTTATAATGTTCACTATACATTTTCTGAAATGCTGACTAGTGAAATTTGTTAAACAGTGAAGAGGTGCTTTAGTTGTGGATCATATCCTTTATTCTCATGATGTTTAAGTGTTAGTAATTGACTTTAGAAGAATTCCTTCTCATGTAATCAGTTGTGTTCTTTTAAATATTAAAAAATATATATATTTTATATCTTGTGTCATACAATTATTCCTTTTTATATGGATGTTATGAAACCAATCAGTTGATAACTGTTTTCAACCTTTTATTCATTGTTTATCAATATTGCTCAACAATAATGTTCCTTTAATAACTGATTTTAAAAGAAATCCTTCTCGTGTTAGCAGTTGATCTTTTTCTATATTTCAAAAAGATATTTTTATATGATTTATATCTTGTGTTATATATTCCTTGTTTTATATATTCATTGTTCTATATATTCATTGTTCATCAATGGTGCACAATGATAATGCTCCTTTAACAATCGATTTTAAAAGAACTCCTTCTCGTGTAAGCAGTTGATCTTTTTCTATAATTCAAAAGATATTTTTATATCATTTATATCTTGTGTTATTTAACTTAATTAATTAATTAATAATTATTTAATTTAATTATTTCAAAAAGATATGTCTATATTATTTATATCTTATGTTATATAATTATTCCCTTTCATATCGATGTTTTGGGATAAATGAGGTTGTAACTGCCTTCTATCTTCTATTCATTGTTTATCAATGGAGCACAATATTAATGCTTCTTTAAGAATTGATTTTAAAAGAATTCCTTCTCGTATAAGCAGTTGATCTTTTTCTATATTTCAAAAAGATATTCTTATATTATTTATATCTTGATGATTTGGAATAAATCAGATTGTAAGTGTCTTCAACATGTTATTCATTGTTTATGACTGGTGCTCAATAATAATGCTCCTTTAACAATTGATTTTAAAAGAATTCCTTCTCGTGTAAGCAGTTGATCTTTTTCTATAATTCAAAAGATATTTTTATATCATTTATATCTTGTGTTATTTAATTATTCCTTTTCATGTGGATGTTTTGGAATAAATCAGGTCGTAAGTGTCTTCAACCTTTTATTCATTGTTTTTGAATGATGCTCAATAATAATGCTCCTTTAATAATTACTTTTAAAAGAATTTCTACTCGTGTAAGCAGCTGATCGTTTTCTATATTTCAAAAAGATATTTCTTTATCATTTATATCTTGTGTTATATAATTATTCCTTTACATGTGGATGTTCTGGAATAAATCAGCTAGTAAGTGTCTGCAACCTTTTATTCATTGTTTATCAATGGTGCTCAATAATAATGCTCCTTTAATAATTGATTTTAAAAGAATTCCTTCTCGTGTAAGCAGTTGATCTTTTTCTATAAATTAAAAGATATTTTTATATCATTTATATCTTGTGTTATTTAATTATTTCTTTTTATGTGGATGTTTTGGAATAAATCAGGTCGTAAGTGTCTTCAACCTATTATTTATTGTTTATCAATGGTGCACAATAATGACGCTCCTTTAGTAATTTATTTTAAAAGAGTTCCTTCTCGTGTAAGCAGTTGATCTTTTTCTTTATTTAAAAAAAATATTTTTATCTTATTCATATCTTGTGATATATAATTATTCCTTTTCATGTGGATCTTTTGGAATAAATCAGATCATTTTTAAAGAATTTTTTCTCGTGTAAGCAGTTGTTCTTTTTCTATATTTCAGAAAGATACTTTTATTGTTTTTATATCTTCTGTTATATAATTATTCCTTTTCATGTGGATGTTTTGGAAAAAATAGCTTGTAAGTGTCTTCAACCTTTCATTCATTGTTTATCAATGCTGCTAAATAATAAATTTCCTTTAATAATTGATTTAAAGAATTTTTTCTCGTGTGGACAGTTGACCTTTTTCTATATTTCAAAAAGATATCTCTATATTATTTATATCTTGTGTTATATAATTCTTCCTTTTCATGTGGATGCTTTGGATTCAATGAGGTGGTAAGTGTCCTCAACTTTTTATTCATTGTTTATCACTGGTGCTCAATAATAATGCTCCTTTTACAATTGATTTTAATAGAACTCCTCGTGTAAGCAGTTGATCTATTTCTATATTTCAAAAGATATTTTTATATCATTTATATCTTGTGTTATTTAATGATTCCTTTTCATGTGGATGTCTTGGAATAAAACAGTTTGTAAGTGTCTTCAACCTCTCATTCATTGTCTATCAATGGTGCTCAATAATAATGCTCCTTTAATAATTGATTTGAAGATTTTTTTTTCCTGTGGGCAGTTGATCTTTTTCTATACTTCAAAAAGATATTTTGATATTATTTTTATCTTGTGTTATATAATTATTCCTTTTCATGTGGATGTTTTGGATTTAATCAGGTCGTAAGTGCCTTCAACCTGTTATTCATTGTTTTTGACTGGTGCTCAATAATAATGCTCCTTTAACAATTGATTTTAAAAGAATTCCTTATCGTGTAAGCAGTTGATCTTTTTCTATAATTCAAAAGATATTTTTATATCGTTTATATCTTGTGTTATTTAATTATTCCTTTTCATGTGGATGTCTTGGAATAAATCAGGTCGTAAGTGTCTTTAACCTTTTATTCATTGTTTTTGAATGATGCTCAATAATAATGCTCCTTTAATAATTGCTTTTAAAAGAATTTCTTCTGGTGTAAGCAGCTGATCGTTTTCTTTATTTCAAAAAGATATTTCTTTATCATTTATATCTTGTGTTATATAATTATTCCTTTACATGTGGATGTTCTGGAATAAAAATCAGATCATGTGTCTTTAACCTTTTATTCATTGTTTATCAATGGTGCTTAATAATAATGCTCCTTTAATAATTGATTTTTAAAGAATTCCTTCTCGTGTAAGGGGTTGTTTTTTTTCTATATTTTAAAAAAGATATTTTTATTGTATTTATATCTTGTGTTATATAATTATTCCTTTTCATGTGGATGTCCTGGAATAAATCAGAGGGTAGGTGTCCTCAACCTTTTATTCATTGTTTATCAATGGTGCTCAATCATAATGCTACTTTTATAATTGATTTTAAAGGAAATCCTTCTTGTCTAAGCAGTTGATCTTTTTCTATCTTTGAAAAAGATATTTTTATATTATTTATATCTTGTTTTATATAATTATTGCTTTTCATGTGGATGTTTTGGAATAAATTAGATGGTAAGTTTCTTCAATCTTTTGTTCATTGTCTATTAATGGTGCTCAATAATAAGGCTCCTTTTATAATTGATTTAAAAAAATTCCTTTTCGTGTAAGCAGTTGATCTTTTTCTATATTTTATTAGATATTTTTATGTTATTTATATCTTGTGTTATGTAATTATTTCTTTTCATGCGGATGTTTTGGAATAAATGAGGTTGTAAGAGTCTTCAACCTTTTATTCATCGTTTATTAATGCTGGTCAATAATAATGCTCCTTTAATAATTGATTTTAAAAGAGGTCCTTCTCGTGTAAGCATTTGATCTTTTTCTATATTTCAAAAAGATATTTTTATATTATTTATATCTTGTGTTATGTAATTATTCCTTTTCATGTGGATGTTTTGGAATAAGTCAGATTGTAAGTGTCTTCAACCTTTTATTCAATGTTTATCTATGGTGCTCGATAATAATGCTCCTTTAATAATTGATTTTAAAAGAATTCCCTCTCGTGTAAGCTGTTAATCTTTTTCCATATTTCAAAAAATATTTTTTTATTATTTATGTCGTGTGTTATATACTTATTCCTTTTCATGTGGATGTTTCGGAATAAATCA